GGTATTTGGGTGGTTTAATTTTTATTTTTTATCTAGTATAGGGTCTCACTATGTAGATCGGACTCGTAGTAGTGATCCTCCTGTTTAAGCCTCCCAAGTGCTAGGATTACAGGCAGGCAGCACCACTCCCAGTCTCAGTCACTGTCTCAGCCTGCCCCGGGGGTGGGACCTGGCCGGCATGGCTGGCATGGCTGGCATGGCAGGCATGGCAGGGGGGTATCGAACCTCCAGTCCCTGTGTCTGCCTAAGCAAGTGCTTTAATCCACTCAGCTGTTTGGCCAGTAGTTTGGGTGTTTGTTTTGTTTTGTTTTAGTGAAGGCATATGCTGTATTCTGGAGAGAATTTGGTTTGTTTTTCTATACACTATATTTAAATGTATGTTTTGATTTTTATCCACCTTTTTTTTCCACCTTTTTATGATTATGCAGATTAGTGAGTTTCACTTTGGTGTTTTCATACACGTGCTTAGCATACTTTGATAATTTTTACCCTTTATCACCCATTTGTCCTTGGAGAGGGTTCTAAATGTCTAATATATTTTGCTCATATCCAGCCCCCCTGTTACCTAAATTTTTTAGTATCATGTGGTTTCTTGAATCTGATTCCTCCAAAAGACTTGAGAAGTATAGTTATATTTTTGTTTTATCCATGTCATATATTCCTCAGGGTTTTGGCTTGGTCATTGGCTTTGGCAAATCTCTTGTGTTAGTTGTTTTTTTTTTTTTTTTTTAAACCAGGGATTGAACGCTTATTCCACTGAGCCATCTCCCTGGCCCCTGCATTAAGTTATTAGACCCTTGATACTTACTGTTTGTCTCATCATGTTTGACAATAAGAATGTAGATTGACCTCTGTCCAACAGAATGTATGGCTTAAACATTTGGTATCTTGAGCTGCTGTTTGTTGTGATAGCCACAATCACATGTACCTATTAAGTATTTGAATTGTAGCTAATACAACTAAGAAACTCGATTTTTAATGTTACTTAACTGTTATGAGACTTTTGTGATCGTTAATAATTTCTTAGTTACCAAGTCCACTGAAAAGCCTTTCAGTCCTTGTCCTTTGAAGTTATTGCTCTTCATAATTTTTTTTTAGTACGGGGTCTGCAGGGTCTCACTACACGGATTGGACTCTTAGCCTACAGTTTTCAGCCTCCCAAGCACTGGGATTATAGGCTTGCACCACCATACCCAGTTTCAATCTCAGTTTGCCCTGAGGGTGGGGCTAGGGCTGGCATGGTATGTCAGGTGTGGAATACCAGTCCCTTTCCTTAAGCAGGCACTTTAATCCACTGAGCTGTCTGGATGGCCCTCTCTTGATAGTTCATGCTGTTTTTCTACTTACAGTTTCATCTTTAAAAAAAGAAAATGTCATTTTTGAACCTTGTCTCATTTGCCTGCCACTCTGAAGAGTTAGCATTTCTAGAGGAGTTTGTCCTTGCTGCTTCTCATTTTTCAAACCCTACCTGGGTATAGCCAACCTCCAAAGCGTCTGCAGCTCTTTGATTTCAAGGCCCATGTGTCTTTTTCTATATTGAGTAGCCATCTTTATATTCCATAGATGATTGTCTCTGATCTGTTTCTAACTTTTAGTATATCCTATCCTGATAAGTTCTCCGAGAGTAGTCTGATTACTCTTCTTTCCTCCTCTCTTTAGGGAGATTCATTGTTTTTATGAATGACATACTACTACAGTGTCATCTTGATAGGTGCTACCATATTCCTTAGGTATTACTGTATGAAAGTTTTATGTAAATTACCATGTGCTAACCAATTGTGCCACTGGCGTTCCTGAATAAAAAAAAAAATAGACTGCAAATTTGAAGGTTGTTCCCTTTGCTGACTTTTTTTTTTTCCTTTGCTGACTTTTAAAGCCTGATACTATATAGGTCTTCATTTTGTTGTATTGACATAATTGTCCAAATGTGTTTTCCATCTATTCCTGGTGTTGTTTTTATCAGGGAAATCTTATCATCTGTTGCACAGAGAAAACATCAGAATGAAAGGAAAGCTTTTTTATTGTTCATGCTGAAAAAGAACAGATTTTCTGCCTATGGATTGAGCTTGAATTTTTGAGAAATGTGAAAATATTTTGGGTCATGTTGCTGTGAGTCCAAACTTAAATCAGTTTCTTTTATCTTTGCTCTAGTCCTATAGAACCACTCAGCCCAGTCCTAAAACATCTTTTTTGATAAACTTGTCTCTTGGTATATGTTTTTGTAGCCCGAACTGCCCTCTGTATTCCTGCCTGCCTTATGTCTTGTCAGTCCTCAGTGCAAGACCCCAGATTTAGCCAAGTGTGGTGGCACGTACCTATAATCCCAGCACTCAGGAGGCTGAGGCAGGATGCCATAAGTTTGAGGTCCACCTGGGCTATAAAGCTATTTCAGAGGCAGTCTGTCTCAAAACAGTAAAACAGGTTCAATCCTTGGCACCACATGCTGTGCTGGACCAGTGGACCCCCCACCCCAAGCTAAAACCATCTAGACCCTCCCTACATACACACACACACACACACACACACACACGCTAAGAGCACCAGGACCTGGCATGTAATCTCAGCACTGGGGAGGCTGAAAATAGGAGGATAACTGTGAGTCTGAGCTGCATAGTGAGACTCTGTACCAAATACATTTAAATGAATGAATGAATAAAACAAAAGCACCTTTTTGTGTGAAAGCTTGTTTGAACATGTCTCTATTATAACTCTTGTTCCATCCAATTGTATGCGTGGTTTCCTGAGAGCAGACATAGGTCATTTTTGTTTTTATAGCCTGGGTAGGTAGTTTATAGTATATGTTGAATTAAAGTCTTGTTTGACCTTCACAACTGGGTAAAATAATAGTAAACTTTAAAGAATTCATTGATTCCTATTTTTTTAAATTTCCAAGTGTTTTATGAATAAAATTGTGAGAAGTTACTATATAGAGTTCTTGTAGTGCTTGGATTGAAACTATCATGTACTATTTACGAAGGAAGCAAATAGTTTATTTAGACTTATTTGTACATAATTGATAATTTTAAGCTGTTACTAGCATTCTCTTAAGTAGTCTCACACATTCATATAAGTTGCTTTGTTTCAATTTTATAAAATATAAGTTGAATAAAGCAAGTTTTATAATCCTACAGCTCAAGCATTTTACCAGTTTTTATAATTTCTTTCCCAAATCATTTACCAAGCTTTTTTTTTTTTTAATGTATTTATTACAGAGTTTATAGGGTCTTGCTACACAGATCAGACTCAATGATCCTTCTGTTTTCAGCTTCCCAAGTGCTGGGATTACAGGAGTGCTCCACCGCACCCAGTCTCAATTGCCTTTTCAGGGTGCCCTGAGGGTGGGGCTGTTACAGCAGGCCAGGATCAAACTTTGGTCCCTGCGCTGTATCTGGCTGGCCCTCATCAAGTCGCCTTAAATTCACTTACAGAGCTGGGTGGCAGTGTATCCAGAGGCTAAGGCAGAAGGATCATTGCAAGTTTGAGACCAGCCTGAGCTGCAAAGTGAGTTCAAGGCTAACCTGAACTGCATAGCAAGACCATGTCTCAAAAAGACCAAAAAAAGGAGAAAAAAAAAAAATCATTAGCTGTGGAACTTTTATAGTTGCGTTTTTTTGTAGTGTATTAGACAGGGATATGGTTGTGTGTGTGGATGCAAGGTTACCTGCGTTCCAGATATAAATGTAATTATTACATATGCCTAGAAAAAACTTGTAATGCTGTTTCCTTTAAAATTGGGAGTCGCTCTTAATATTTTGAACTAGTGATTCACAGTGTTGTTTTACCAACTTAAAGTCCTTTTGTATCAGGAAAAAAGAATGCATCTGTTACATGGACATAACTTTAGTTCTTATGGATATTGACAGTAAAACTATTGACTTGAAAATAAACCCATTAGAATTTTGTAATTCAGTAGTGTCTCAGGTTTTTTGTTTGTTTGTCTGTTTCCTGAGACAGGTTTTCATTAGGTAGCACATGCTAACCTTGAACGAAGTGATTTTGCCTCAACCTCCTGAGTGCTAGTATTACAGGCATGTGCCACCATGTCTGGCCAGTGACTCAATAAAGTCTTTTGGAAATTAAAATTGTTTCTTACTTAAAGCAACAGGCCATCTGTTAGATCAATCTCAGTTTCACTTTAATCCTCTCTCTCTCTCTCCCCCTCTCCCCCTCTCTCCCTCTCCCCCCTTCCCCTTCCCTCCCCCCCTCCTCTCTGCTCACTTACTTTTCGACAATAACAATGTGAGTCAGCTACCTTCTTTCTATTTTTATTGGATTTGTTTTTAGTATTTAAGCCCATCCTCAGAATGGTTAAAAAATTAGCGTAATGTTTGACTACGTTATAGGGTTGAAGTGGTTAGGTATAATTGAGAATTGGTATCATTTTGGACTCCTTAGAGTCAGTGATATTTTGTGTAGACACCTTAATGGTGACTGCATTTGTACTACCTGTCTGGTATACAATGTTCACTTTTTTTTTTTTAACTATTAATTGACAACTCTAGTTTTTGGAGATCTTTTCAATGTTTTTTCTTAAGATGAGTGTTTTTAAGGGCCAGGGAGATATCACAGCTGCAAATGCAGGGTCTCGAATTTGATCCCCAGTACTTTTTTTTTCTTAATTTTTTGAGGGATCGAACTCAGGACCTTGTGCTTACCAGGCAAGCACTATTCCACTGAACTATTGACCCAGCCCAAGATTGTGTTTTCAAGAACTCATCTTTTGTTTAAAAAGCGTATACTTTTTGTGTGTGTGTGGTACTAGGGATCGAACTTGGGATCTTGTGCTTGCCAGGCAGGTGTGCTTGAATACATCTCCAGCCCAAAAAAGCATTAACTTTTTGTAGGTGGCAGAATGGT